TATCACCCAAGTTTTTGCATACCTTAATTCTGCACAGTTAGCACCATATCTCCTTGTCATCTACTTTCTTACTTTGGCCTGTTTGTTTCTCTTAAGTGTGTCTTTCTCTTGTTGCTTCTTATTTTATTTTCTGCCCTGAATAGCTGCCTTCTTTCTCTCGTCTGTTTGCATACGACTGGATGACACTTGGTGAAGCAAGATGGAATCCATTACCATACACACACTTTTTTTTTTTTTTTTTCTGACAGAGACATGCACTGGAGCAACTGGTTCCCACTTTATGTGTTTGAGCTAGATGGCCGTGTATGCAACGTTCATGAGGCACTGGAGGCCAACTTTGCTTGGAAAAGTATTGTTCCTTAGTTGTAACAAAAACTGGAATTTCTGCAGACATTCACCTTTCCAGACCATCTGTCTCTGGAATTAAGCTGTTTAAAGGAAGAGTGCTAGTAATGTAGCATTGGTTTAGTCCCTAAAGTTTCCTGCTCGGGTAAAGTAGGAAGCCTTTTTTGCACCTGAAGAACATCTATGAAACTCAGATATCCCATGCCTGGGAATTAGCGGGCAACTTGTGTATAAATTCAGTTTTCAGAGAATTCATCTGTGCTATACTGATAAATATCATGCAATAACATATTTTGCCTCCTCAGCATTTCTGCCTACATTACCCAAGCAAATATTTTTCATTCAAAATTATAGATTAGCTAGCTCTTCCTTATACCAGGAATAACATCAGTTTTCCTGCCTTAATAACTAAAAGGCAGCAAATATATATAGTGCTATCTAGAAAATACAAGTGGTGCTCTCTTCTGTTTGGATCAGCACCTCCTGTAATACAGAAAACCATAAAGAAGGGCTCAGGAAGTTTTGTGAAACTCCTTTTCCAAATGTCCCCATCAGGTCTCAGGAAGGAGCCCAGCCTTATTTAAGTAAGTAGTTTTTGTAACAGTAGAAAGTCCCCGGTTGAAACTCTTCATCCCAGTGATGAAGAGAGAGAAAAAAAATTAATGTTTGAATATTTCTTAACATTTTGACTAGCAGAAGAGTTTAGCAGAGAAAAGGGAATGAAGCAGTCGATCTTTCATCACAAATGATATCTGATGGCATATTGGGAGTTGACGGGAAGCTTTCATGCTGTAGCTTTTTTCAGATGTGTCTTTCAGTGTGTAACTAGTGCCCAAGCCTTAATGAACCACTTAAGTGCAGCAGCTATGCCAGCTTCTTCTCAAGAACTATAATCGCACCTCTACCATTAGGAATGGATGCTTGTAGGTGGGGATTTATTTTCTTTCCGATTTTTTCTATAGGTATTTGATTTATAACATATTCCTCAAACTGTGTTTAAAATACTTGTAAAGCCTTTGTAAACATACTTTTATTGAATTCAATGGCAGAGGAGAGAGCTGATTAAGGTTCACATTAGTCAGGAAAATAAAACTATAAGAAGGATTTTCCTGAAGGAAATGGGGAATTTACATAAATGCAGTTCATGCCATGTGACTTCATCAGGAAAGTTTCATGAGCAAGAACTACTAATTCTGTCAGTAAATAAGTTGTATATGTGCTGCAGAACGGTTTCATTGAATCCATCTGGTCTGTTCATAGACGAGTAAAACTATGAAGTAAATGGAAAAAAGTAAATTAAAAGAGCCAAAGAAATAAACCAATAGGTTTTAGTCCCCATTGGCAGCAGGGAATATCACCCTTCCCAGGCCCATGTAGCATATTCTGTGTTTCAAAAGCAGCTATGTCATCATTCATGCTGTTCTTGAAAATATAAGGGGGTAATGAAGGAAAAAAAAAAATCATTGCATGTCAGTGCTAGCCAACAGCTGGTCACTCCTTTTGCTCGGACACAAGGCTGTCCCTGGGGACACCAGCGGTCTGGCTTCTACTCTTTGCTCACCACTCTCATCTGGTAAGTTCGTTTCATAAAGCTTGTGTATTGCTCTTTGCAAAGGCTTTCAACTGTGTTTACACAAAATTCAAATGATCTCACTAAGTCCTAGCTTCAAATTCCATTACCCTAGTTGCTAGGAGTAAATTGAAAGTTTGTCCCAGTGGATGTAAGGTTCTATATTAATCCCTACAAAATATATCCCATCTTGCTGTTTGTTTAGAAATGTAAAAAAAATAAACTTTAAAAAAAAGTTGAGATACATTGTGGTTAGAAAAATAACTTTGCCTGCATAAATCAGCAGAGTGCTGACATATGTCTTCAGGCAACACAACTTTCCCTAGATGTACCCATGATCACCTGCTTCTTTCTCCTCAACAGCTAGACATGAGGGATGGCAGCGGACCTCGCCAGGGGGTGGTTCTGAGTGTTTGGGGTACAGCTGCCATTTATCAGCCACTTTAGTCCATGATCTGGTAGATTTTGTTGTTGGCTCTTAAATACTGGGTAGGCTGTTGGATTTCTACCCTAAATTCAATGGGTATTGCATAGTGTTTAAGGTAATCGTTTGATTCCTTTATTGTGAAATGTAACTAGGAAAGCTGTAAAGCTAAAAAATAACCTTAGGACTATGTTCTTTGACTGGTAGATATCAGGAGTAAAGCCGGATTCGGTATCTGCTTTCTTGAAGAATGTGTAATGATTATCCACCTACAGAAGTGGGTGTTAGCAGATATTTCTCAGGAATTCAGTGTATTCCTGCATCTCACATGCACAAAAAATGAAACCACCTTGTCATAATGGTTTAACCGTCCTTTCAAAAAATACTAACAGTACCAGGTATGCTAAACTGCTTGCTCTGAGCTCTCTAGCAGCAGACCCAGCCATAGCTTGAGGCATTTCCCAACAATGTGTCAAGTGATCTGTCACAGCACCAATATTTTCCTCTTTAAGGCAGGTCTTTCATCACATTGGAAATGCCAGTGTTGCTGAGCTAATCCAAGACAGTTTGGAGTGGTGTATATTAATACAAGACTGTACCTAAGTGATATCCATTCCTTCGAAATTCCATTACAGCTGCGTAACACATGCTTAGCTACTTATTAAAATCTGAGTTTTATGTGTTGGTTGTCCCAATCCTTCCAGAAATGTCCAATGAATCTTTATTAGTTACTTCACCTTCACATGTCCTGGGCAATCATTACTTCTTTTTACCCATTTCCTTCTTAACAGCAATTTAATACTCTGAAAGAAATGAGTAATGGGAAAGAATATTACTGTTGTATGTATGATAAATTAAAAGCATCTATTTTCCTTGAAAAGATGCAGCAGTTGTAGTACTCTAAGAGGCTTATTCCCTTCTGTGTAAGTAAGTTCCTATACAGGAGGTTAAACTTGGCTTGGAAGCATAGTAATTTCCCCTAAAATTTTAGAGCTGCCAAATTATAACAAGAGTGCTTTCAGAAATCTTCCTTCTTAGGCATAGACCATTTGTTAAGTAAGGTCAACAGCAGCCAAGCAGAATGGACTGAGGTCCACATCTCTGGGTACATCAGTGTTATTGCAGCCATAACCTGGAGTCTAACTGGCCCAAAAACTTTAAGGCCATGAAGCTGTTGGAAGACTTAGATGTTTTAAGGCTTGGGACCTGTCTACAGGGAAAGCTCAGCAGCAGTGAGAACCAGAACTGAAGAGCTCAGACAGAAAGAAGGATCAGAGACTAACCAAGTGGGAGCAGGTGTTGACTGGAGGGAAAAGACTGCCAGAAAGAGGTGGAGCAAGCTGTTTCAGAATTCAGTATTTATTAGCAGTACTGAACCCAACAACCAGTGCATTCTTCTGAACCACTTACTGGCAATATTTAATGCTTACCCATGTATGCATTAAGGATTCTTGCAACAAAGGTGAGTCCTACCAGAGCTGTAGCTGCAGTACACCAAAGACAAGACCTGGTGGCTGCTTGCTGAGAACAGCAGCAGCTTGGGAGCCTTCCTAAAAAAGCGAGGCTGGCAAATGCACACTCACCAGTGTTGCTTCTAGTTGGCCAGGTATCTTCTGAGCAGACTCAGAAGGTTCAGGAAAGTAGGAGAGTTCACAATATATTTAAGGGACAAACTTCTGTCAATGTCAAGGGAAATTCTATTGCATAAAATTCCCAGATAATGAGGAAACTGGAGATAAAGAAATTTTTTAAAAGGGGGTTCTGGCTAGTGGATAGAACTGTAGAAATAAAGATATGCATGACCTCCAAGGTCTCTTGGAAGAGGAGAAGTACTGATTATCAACAGTACAAATTCAAAAACTCAAAATGTAGGAAAATGACAGAATTAGCATTGGCCACGCAAATTTATTCAGCCCTCTTGTGTACGGATTATGGTGATGATGTCTTAGTTACATGATCACTCCCTATATTTCCTATGGTCTCGGGCCTCCCATAGTTCATGACATGGATGGTGGTCATTGAATGGACAGCTATTCAGCTTCTTGTTTCCTGTTTGCAAAGTTATGTTCATTGAGATCTGCTAAAGAAAGTACATAAAATGAGGTGCTATTATCTAGAACCTTCTGAGCATGTATGAACAGCTATTTACTTCACAAAATTTGTGCAAGCTTTAATGGATAAAGCAAAAGGCCTGCCCCTCATATGAAGGTCACCTCTCTTCTAAAGTCCCCTCTTTAATGCATGGGAACACTGGACTCTTCAAAGCCCATTAAATGTTTAAACACACAAAAGCAATGTATCTTATCTAATCTTGTCCTCAGAAACAGATTATTTGTTTTGGCAAAAAAGAATTGTTTTGATCTGAGGCAGATACTTGGTATGGAAGATTTCAGCCTGAATAGTTTAAATTAGAAGGAATGACCAAAAGCATTTACACAGAAATGGAGGGTCAAGCTGACACCCTGCTCTGTAAAGAGCAAATCATTCCTATGGAAGTGCATAATCCAGGGAGCAAGTTTAGAAGCAGAGCTCCAGTTCACCAGACATTTTGCAGACGCTGAAAAAGAGCACAAGTACGGTAGCTATTGGAACCTGTTTACTGTTGCATTGTGCTGCTGCAAAGAGCCTTAAACTGTCAATTCAATGTTTTCTTATTGGCAGTGATAAAGTCATACGAGTTGTTCCTGAGAGCGAGAGGGAAACGCAGATCCTGAGGGCTACGTTTAACAGGCTTAAGGTGAGTTTCATTATTTTCATCTTCTTTTTCTGATCTTTGTTGAAGACTGTAGTGGGTTAACTGACATGCCTTTCATTTGACACTTCAAGCTATTTTATACTCTGAAAAGCAGCCTTTGCCCATTAAATTCCTAATTTCCCAATAAAATAGCGTAGGAATTAGATTCACCATGCCTGACAATTTTAACAAGAAACACTTATTGCCTTAAAATAATACAGGCGCCACGCTTGCAAATTTGCTTTTTTTGCTCTTCCACTTCTTGCTAGCATACATAGTCCCATGTTTCACTATCTGGCTGATGGTTTTATTTAAAACACTGAGTTAATTCAAGACGTGGACACACACAGGAATAGGAAAAAGGAAGTGGCTTCAGTTTGAGAATCTCCCTGGCAGCATAATTTTCTAGAGGCAATTGAGAGAGTGTCTACGAGACTCACTAGCAAGCCAAAAACTTTATTCCCTGGCCTTTTCTTGCAAATATAAATGAAGAGCAATAGTACCACTGTAGCGCAAGAGCACTCTGCAGCGTGGTGCTTTGCTGGCACAGCTAACGAAGGCACAGGCAGTCTTTCCACAGCAGTGTGGCCCATGATCTCAGACGAGGATGGGGAGTACCTGTAAGCCAGGCCTCTGGGCCCTGTGACAGCATGGACAGGGCTGCACCATGCACATGCACTGCCCTCAGGCACTGGCAGAGGGACAAGCCTCATTAATAGGCTCCAAAACATAGACGAACCAGAGCAGAACCAGGGAAGTAACAACTTGATCACTATGCTGGGTTTGTTCCAGGAGTTGAACACGAGTCCCAGGCTCTGCTTCTTCCCGTGTTAGCTCATACTCTGCTTGAGTTGACTTCTCCCTGTACCTATGAAGGTAAAGGAGTTTGACAGGCAGCCTTACAGGCAGCACGGGCACAAGCTAAAGTCATTTGGCACACCAAACTCAATCCTTCGTTTGCATCTGGCTGAAAAGAGCTGTATGGACATAGACGAAGGAACACGTTGGTAACTTCAGCAGTCCTGTGACATACAGTTTTGGGTCACAGCAGAACACTGGTGGTACCAAAGTGATGGGAGCATGTGCAAAACCTCTGCGCCGCTCGCTGCCTTCAACTCCAGCAAACTATTAGGCGGTCTGCGATGTATCTCTGTCTCCGTTGTTGAAACCTCATGTAAATGATTGTGTTCTCACCGAGGCAAAGAATGCAGGTGCATATAATTTTCTAGTCCAGTAGTTAACATCTGGGATACAAGTAAATCAAATTTCAGTCCGCATACCAAATCAAACAAAATGAAGATCTTAGAAGAGCTCTTACACCCTCCTGAAAAGCATTCCATCTTTCAGTTATGATGAAGATTTCTTGCTACCATTTTTTAAGAAAGTGGACGGAGCTACCTTAGGTACCTCAGCCCAGGAGAAGGCTTACTGCTGTGAATACTCCATCAGTCAAGACACTGATGCCTTAGTAGCTTTAAGTAGGAAGGCTGAGGCTCTCTTCATCACCTCTGTGTTTCTTAACGATATGTTCAGTTAGTTCCCCACTCAAGATGCTATCTTTTGTAAATCCCAGTCTCGAGACATCCAGCCTGTGCATATGTTGTATGAGGAATGTCAATGTTCAACAGAGGCAGTGTAACAATGCTACGTATTATAGCACTTTGTACTGTAATGCCCAACCCTGCTAAAGAATATTGTCTTATATTTGTTTCTGCAGTGCTTACTAAGGGCCTGACCCTCAACTGTGAATGTTACTGTAATACCCCAAAAAGGATGATTGTTTTACTCCCAATTAGGAAAAAAAATTCTAGCCATAAACCCAAGAAATACATGTGGAAGCTGGTTTTTGCATTAATTTCTTCCCCCTGGATGCTGGAACATAAAGAGGGAGCACATGTGTTTTTTCCTTTCTCCTCATATTGCAAACCCTGAGAAGCAAAAGGGTTACTCACCTTCTTGCAACTGTTTCTCATTACAGAGCTCCCTTAGGCTCCCAGAAAGAGATTCCTTCACCCAATTCCATCAAAGTGGGAGCAGTAGAAACTTGAATAAATAATTGCATGCTATAACTCTGAGAGCAGGATAATAAAATTTTGGCAAACCGCATCGGAATCTGACTAGTTAATTAGAAAGTGATTGATTCTGATGAGGTAGTAAGCTGAGGAGGTTGAAGGGAAGATTCAAAAATGAGAGAGAGTATTGACACCCAGTTTCATGAACACAGGCTGGGTTTGGCTGCATTTCAAGTCTTAGGGCTCTTCCATCTGCAGCTGCTTCACTGCCCATCTACATGGGGTCAGACAGAAAGAGACACCTGGGCGGCTAACAAGTAATGGATATGTTTAACATTAACTTATCATTATCTTCCCCTCCCCCCCCCCCAAAAAAAAATTATCTCAAGTTATTCACTCATGAAGGAGTGAATCAGCAATGACACTTCTTAGAAGTGCCAAGTACTCTCAATACCAGGAAAAGTCAGTAGCGGCTGCAAGTCATCAACCCCTCTGAAGAGGATGTGTTTAGATGTGGATGCGAGGGATGTATTTAGAGTTCTGCAATTTTTTAAGTCTCCATGTCAGTCTCCCCTGTCCTTCCCCTATCCCTAGACTTCCAGAGTTGGAAACTCAACTGATAGTGGACTTTGTTCAATTTTTTAAATATGAGTCTTTAAGCACAATGCTGATAATGTGCTCAGGAGAAAATAGAAGACAGTGCACCCAAAAAAAACTAATAGTGCAAAATAAGCTACAAACAAAGCCCAGATATAGCCCTGTTGCTGTCTTAACACACTGTCTGACAAACAACAGAGATGTGAACAGAGGGATCAACAGAGAGATACAAATTACTGCAATTACAAGTACTGCACTTTGGATTTTTACGTTTTAGAGTCAGAAAACCAGAATTGATTTAAGACACATCTCCTTTGAATCCATTTTGGTTTGAGCAGTAAATTAATAGCAATCTGTCATATTACTCACATGTTCCGTTCCTCAAGAGAAAAATAAAGCTGGAACCAGGATCCTTTCAAGACACAACAGTTTTGTACCTATATAACCATCAAATAGCACCAATTTAACTTTTTTTTTTTTTTCCAGAGAAAGTATTTTGGGATTAACAACAAGTAGTTGGTCTATTGAAGAACGTTAAGGTTTTATTTAAAGCAATTTGAAGACTTCAACCTGAGTTATGATATGGCCTGATAGTTTTCTCCACCGTTGTCAGTATTAGAACAAGAAAAGCCAGTGAAAATAAAAGTTACATCACTTTCATTCTCAAAGTGAGAAGGATACCTGCACTTGGGTTTAAATTCAGATATATGTTTCTCTACCCTGGCAAGTTGGTCTATTAGAGATGAGGTATATTTCAAAGGTGCCAAAAGTTATGCTCTCTAGTGATGTCAGGATTAGTCCCCATTAGTCAACCCAAAGAAATTGCAGTGCAAAAGTCAAGTTTGGGGAGCCCAGTTTGACCCCAGTGTGATCCATGCACAACTTAAATGGTTTGAATAAATTCCCAGGACAGTGCAGAGTAGATTCTGCACAAATGGATCATATTCTTGTTGCGGGATTTCCTTACATACAACAGACCATCTGTGCTGGCAAGGGAAAGAAAAAGCAATCCCCCCTGTCCCAGGCTCCCTTCTCACTGTGTCTGGTGGAGGGACCTTTAGTGTAGACTCGTGGTGGTGTGTTTATTCCAGCCATTTCGTTCTGCCTTTAAAATCTACACTTGTAAGGCAGAGTCACATAGCCTTTGCCTCTGGCCTATCTTTCATAATCCAAAGAATTAAAAGGAAAACTCATCTCTGTCCAGTTCAAATGAGCATATCCTTCTGAAGGGCTTTATCGCAAAGAAGTCTGAGAAAATTATCCTGATGGTCCTATTACAAAACAGTGTATTTCAGCATCAGACAGAGAATAAAGCAAATGCAAAAATAGCCCCTCTTATCGCTCACTGATTTGGACAAAGGGAAAACAATCAGGAAGAAAATAAACGGGCACTGGAA